CAGCTTCTCAATTCAGGTTGATGTGGCGCATCAACCATAAACTTTGAATGCGATTTGAGCAACAGAAGCAGCCGGTTTACATGCAGTGTGAACGTAGCATTAAGAAGGACAAAAAGGAACTGCCGGATTGTACACGGACCGCCGAGTCCCCGTAAAATACGTGAAACTTCTCAGCATGACATTTTGGTTGCATTATATGCTTAATTTAATTTCTTGCATCCATAATTGTACTCCATGAATACTTTTGCTGCTTGCAGAGCTACTGCAGCCATAGCTTTATGATCCAACTGCTTCTGTGCAACCAATGGGAAAGCTGCTTTCATGCTAAGAGCAGCTGTGATTGGTTTATTTGTGTTTTGGGTCCCGGAAATGGTAAACGGAGAGGATAATGCAAGAAGAAAAGCAGTTTAATGTTTCATTTATAGGATGTACTTAGTAGTCATTATTCCTTTTGATCTCAGAATAGATTTCCATCTGAAGAGCTCTAAAGCCATGATTTGTCCAACCACAGGACCCTAAACCATCATGTGTTACCTTGAAGGGAAAACTGTACAAACCACTCTGCCCCTTGGTTCCCCTCTATAGAACAAGGTTCGATTTTGTTGATCATGGCTATAAAAACCTATAGCAGATCGAGCCAATTAGAACAATTTTAAGCTTGGATGATACAGTTATGTTAGCACCTTTGTTTGAATACTGGGAGTTGCATTTGTCATGAGGTTAATGCTAAATAAAACTCATAGAAGTTTTTACTCTAATTAATTTTGCTCGCAAGGGCAGTTTTAGTACATTTAACTTCTTTACACTGTAAATAGGTTATTATGTTCCTATAATCCTCATGACCTGCAGCACAGAGAGCGCTTCAGTCTTTCAGTATCAGAAGAATTTACTTTTCTTACTTCTCCATAAAACCAATTGGACAAAACGTAAAATGAGAAGAAAATATTTGATAAGGTTTTAATCGCGTTTTAATTGCGTCCTCTGGCTGGGTTTAGGAGGTATAAGGGACCAACATTAATTTAGACAGGGAATCAAAGAGTCAAAAAGGCATCTAAATAAGTTTATTCTAACATTTCTTATAAATAAATTATGGTGTGCTCAGGCCAGAAGAAAAAGAAAAGTGAACTACCTAACTCAAACTAAAACCAAAATATACAAGCCCACAAAATAACCTACCTAGCACATAACAGGAGAAAACTGGGGTTAAACAAAAGGCAGCTCTCTCCTACAAAAACCATCTGAGCA